GATTTCAGCTTCCAGTTGCTAAATATTATGTTCCCAATATCTCCTAGGAAACTATTTCTACCTTCCTCACTTTTCTTTACTTTAAAATTTTTTGAATCATCTGCAAATAGCAAAATGTTGTCACAAATTGAATAAATATCGTTGACATAGATCAGATACAACAACGGACTGAGAACCCCATCTTGAGGGATTCCGACTCCACTTAAAACAGGTCTTGTTTTTGACAAAGTGTTCTCCAATTTAACTTGAAACACTGTTTAACTAAAATATTTCTCAATCCACATCAATATCTTTGGATGTATACCATATTGTTAAAGGTTGAACAACAAACGGCTATGAGATACTTTTGCAAAAGCTATCTCAAGGTCCATGTATGCCACGCAAACTTCGTGACCACGGTCCACTTCTTCAGTTACCTCATCCCAAAATACAAAAGTTGCAAAACCACTAAACGATCAGGAATGAATCCAAACTGACTGTTTGAAAAAGGCCATTTTTTCCAAAAAAAAACTTTATCAGTGACTCCATTAACCTACAACAGATTGATGTAAGTGCAACCGGTCGATAATTTTGAAATAGATCCTTGCGTCCTTTTTTTGTGAAGAGGAACGATGTTTCTTAATCTCCAGTCTTCAGACACTACACTTTCATCTAACGAATGTTGAAAAATTTTGCATATATGGTTTGCAACAAAATCCTTTTTTCCCATAAAATTGTAGGGTGTATTTCATCGGGGCTTGCAGATTTGCTTGTTGTCAGTTGTTTCAACTTTGCAAAAACCAGGAGAACCTCCAATTCTGAATTCAAATTGGGCATGGCATCATTATAGTCAATTTCATAGACAGAAGAAAAAAATTTGCAAAAGCTCCAGCTTTTTCTTCAACATTGGAGACAAATTTCCCATCAACTAATAGTGGACCCATAACATCATTATGTTTGGTGAATTTTTTAACATGATTCCAAAGCAATTTTGTGTTTGTGTTATAATTTTTAGCAATTGTATCTTAAGATTGCTTTTTCAAATCATTTTCATATTTCTTTATTTTTTCTCTAATAAAACGGTATTTCTCTATCTTGTTTTCTCCATATCTGTAGATTGATTTCCATATCAAGTGCTTTTGTTCGATCAGAGCTTTTAATTCTTCATTAATTTTAAATTTGTGGTTAATATTTCTACTTTTTTGGAACAAATTGCTAAGTACGTTTAATTAATTGATCCTCGAAAAACCTTCAGTTATCCTCTGCATTCCCACACCAAGAAGAAGAAACTTGCAAAAAGGCAGCCAGTACCTTTCTAAAATTCATGTAGTCACCTAAATCATACCAGTAGTTTTTTTCATCCTTTATGGCTGAACAACCAAAACCTGTCATCTTTGATTCAATAAAAAAGTGGCCACTATTTCCTAATGGTGGATGGTATAGTATGCTATTTATAAATTCTTGAGATGAAATCACCTAATTCAAGATATTAGATGTCTGACCATTTCTGAATCTCGTTGAATGACATATTTGCTGTAGCAAAAACCTGTCCCTCAAAATGTTCAAAAATCTGTTTTCAATTCTGTCACCTTAACAACTGTATGTTTTCCAATCAATATTTTTATTTATCAATGTAAACAATAATTTATTATTTTCATCGATAGAATTTGGACTTTTAGAAATGAATAGAATAGTTTATGACTCATCTAGAAACACATAGTTTTACTAATATGTACTTCTTAAATAAAAAGTTTATAGCTACTTCTGATAAGATTAATGATCTTTGGCAAAAAATAACAAACCTCTTCTGTTTGCATCAGCAAAACTAGAAGCAATGTCATACAGAACTTTGACAAAACTCTACATTCGCTGAACTTTTTGGGGTTAACTTCACTTAGAGCAATTAAATCTGATATAGCCTTAACGCTTTGCAGAATTAACTTCGTTTTTTTATTTATTTTATTGGCAAATAATAAATCTTATTTGATAATGAATCCACATTTGTCATAATGACACTTAAATTGTTTTACTATTGCAACTTAAATTGCTTACTTTGGTGGAAACATTTGTCCAATTAATTTATGCAAATTAAAATCTCCAAAAACCATTTTCAACTCCATCATTGTTTAAATAAAATGTAGTTAGCCAATTAACCAAGTTGTAATTTTTAAATTCATGGAAATTGGATTAATGTAGGTGGTAAAAAATGTTTCAGTTCAATAAAATATTCCGTCTCAATCAATTGTAACCAGAAAATTATATTACAGGAAACAAACATTTTAACCAGCATCGCTTTTTCAAACGACGTGTGAAGCTGTTACATAACGTGTTGTGAAATATATTTGACATGCTTGTTAATAAATCTCGTGTTTGTGTTTGCTTCACATTTCTAACTGTTTATGTTGATTGAAATTTTGAACGCTCAGAGTAAAGATACTGGCATTCAAACGTTGATTAAATTAGATGAACAAGGAGGTTTGTGACATCATTTTTAACTTGAACTGTAATGAATTTCTGTAACGCAAATTTTTCAACTCGATTTCCATCTTTTATTTCAATTGATCGTACATAGTGAAACCCGCTTGACCTGGCCACATCAGTTCTATCATTTCAGTCGATCATACATGGTGAAACCAACTTCACGTTGCTACATTAGTCTCGGAACTTTTGACCACGCCATACCACGTGTCATGTTATCTTAACTGAGGTGCACTGTCCAGCAATGCAATCGGTTACAGAACAGTGATGAACAAACATTTAAAAATAATTTATTTACACACTTTTTTAAGATATTGAGTTATTAAAAATATAGTTAGTGTTGAAGGCTGATTAAGGTGGATACAAGTTAAATAAAAAATTAATTTATTGAGTTTTGAATTATTTTAAGTGATTATGAGAAAAATTTGCTAATTAAATTATTAAATATAACTTAACACAAGTATATAGATTGTTGAAACAACAAATATTACAACAGTAACAAAAATAAACATTCTTTCAATCAAATTCTAACATTATTTCAAAATACAACCGCATATACTTTTACAATTGTCTAAACAGTAGACGTAACTGCATGGAAACCGTCGTGTCTCCTGTTTCCTGTTATCTATCGTGTCTTAGTTTTTTTATGTCCACTAACTCTGAATTTCTACACTTTGAATTAATTGAATAATTTTCGAATTGCGTATTCTTCAAGCATCTAGTAAGTTGTTAGCTGGTAACTATCACGTACTTCATCTGGCCACGTCCATCTTCTCTTTTCTTCATGGCTGTTTTGCTTTTTTGGCTCGTGAGGTGGCCATGTTAAGCGGGTTTCATTGTATTTCATTGATTTTTGTTATATAGGTTTTTGGGATTGGAAAATAATTTTTAGTGCAATTTTGAAGGTTAATTTTTTCTTTTTTTTCTTTTTAGCATTCGAAAAAAAAAATTTTTTTTCAAACTTTGGATAGTCCTCTTCATTGTTATTGGTGCTTTTGCTGTAATTTGGTTTTATTTGTTTTCTGTTGTGTCTTGCTTTTCAAATTAATGAAAGCACTCAAGCACTTTTTATTTTATTTTTCCAATAACATTTTAAAGACTTACTGTTGAAATGCGCACGGATAATCGAAATTTGCTTTTTTGTTTTGAAATTTGGAACTTATCGTACATGAATAATGAATGCAAATATCTTAATTATGTCGTTTTTTGTAGGTGTACTGTACATGTGTTTTTTTTGTGGATCATAATATAAAATAACAATTTTAAAATATAGATTAGAGTTTATTGTTTTTTTAGTTTTTCCTTTTTCATGAGCTTGTGTTTCTACTGTTGTTTTTTGACAACATTCGAAAATTATAAATCATTTAAAATTTGAATGAAACTTAAAAAAACGTTGCATCTCTTCGTTAGCACCAAAAAGAAAGTCACTAGATGATTATTTTAAAATATATTTTATTCCAATATTTACTTGTGAAGCTTTTTTTTGATCTTTCATTTTTTTCGTGGTACAGTTCTATCTTAAAACATGATTTTCAACAGTGAATTTCTTTTCCCATTTTTGCATTTTTGCAAAATTTTAAAATAAAATTGGTTGGCTTATTTTATGAATTGGATAAGTATTAGATGCCTAATTCATTTCACGATTTTAATGTCTTTTATGTCTTTCATTGTTATAGTCAATTTTGCAGACTCAGATCATTTTGTTTAAGCAATATGCTGGATCTAATTTTTTACCAGCGTTCTGTTTTGAATGTAACTGAAATTTTTTAAGCGTGTAAAAAAGAATTAAATTTGCTGGAAAAGAATCACGATTTTAAATGTCATATAATTCGGATAGAGAACGTACTCATCTCTTGCTGATTCTATTCATCAGATTTTATTGAAGGTTTTCCGTGCATTTAAACTTACACGTCTACGAGTTAGACTAAATTGAGACTTCAGTTGACGTTGTGTAGACGATACATTCCTACTCTAAAACATATCACTGGAAGTACTTTAGCTTATCTAAACGCTGAAGACTTTCGTTAGAATTGTAGCGGGTAGCACTGCATAACATTAACAGTTTGCGTTTTCTTTGTGAAAAGCTGATTAAAGTAGGTTAACAAATCCAAAAATTGATGTAAAAGGCCTTAACTTCATTTCATTGCTGCATCTTTCTAACGTCTCTTCTTTACGTGCTATCATGCTTAGGGAATCAATTTATAAAACCAATCAGGATCTCGAACTGTTATTTTTTTCGTTTCCGTCGTCGGTCGGTTTCGGTTCGAGACCCTAGAATCAATAAAAGTGTTCGACGTATTTATTATCAATGGTCGACCAGGTAGTTTATCTTTATAGCTTAGAATTATTACACCTGAATTTAACAGCGCTTCCTCCATGATTTTTGTAAATAGCGATATATACTAATCTCGCTGAATGAGATATCTAAACTCATTTGTTTAGCATATTTTTCATTATTTTCATTTTTCATAGATTTTTTACGTGCATTTTTCAAAGTTTTGTTTCTTCTAACATAATGGTGACGGTTTTATTATGCTACACAGAGTAGTGATGCAGGTGCCAAAACATTGACAATGCTAGATATTCAAGGGGGTGAGATTTTCTTATAAAGCTTCGATATAATTTTTGTTCCATTTTATGTTTACGTTGTTCATCCTGTATATAGCTATTTAACTTTATAAAGGAACATTTAATGTAGTAATATTTAGATCTTATTTTTTCCATTCATCATACATTGCAACATTTTAAGCAAAAGAAGCCACTGCCAAAGCTGAATTTTTTTCCAAAATGATTGTTGCGACATGGGGACGCATAGATATTTCATGAGCAAAAGCTGAAACAGTATAAACTAGAAATTATATGATTTTGACTAGAAAGAGGTGATCTAAATGATGTTTATATGCTTATAAATAAATTCGGTATAGCACTTCATGGTTAAAAAACGGTTATAATCGTTTTTTACTTGAGAATTTTATTAGTTTTCTAGACATTTTATAAGTTTCAAATAGTGCTTTAAATATAAATGATTGCAAAAATAGATATTTTAACGGTTTTATTTTTATCAGTCTGCTCAGATTATCTGCAAGCTGATTTTCTTTTCAATCATCCTCACTTTCACACTTGATTAAACTGTTGTCTAATAAGCGCAAATGTTTCATATACTTTTAGTCGTTCATTTGTTAGCATCGTTTTGTGATGATAAAGTCGACTAACTTTCGGCGCCTGTATTTCACTTTCAAATTTCGTTTTGTTGGCAGTTAAAATTTCTTTGTTGAACTAAATCTACGCCACCAGAATTCAGTTATTTCTACGGATTGGTTTCTTTATTTCTAAAAAAAACTACTGCACCCTTTTTGAATATATACTTCATTCGTTTCGTTTCACGATTTACAATTTCTAGTCTAGACAGTTTTTACTCATAAAATAACAATGCAATCCCTGTTTATTCCCTTTAACCCTTCTGTACATTTAGGTCAATCAATTTACATAACGACCTTGCATATTGATAGCGTTCTGGACATGATCGAAAAAAACTTATTGTTTATGTAATGTCGCTTTCTGAGTGTTTTGACTTAAAAAACATTTTTAATCAGTTTTGTTATTTTTGTAGAAAAATTAGATAGAATTGAAGAAGGAATGACGCAAATAAACCAGGATATGAAGGAAGCAGAAAAGAATTTGGAAGGCATGGAGAAATGTTGTGGACTATGTGTCTTGCCTTGGAAGAGGTTGTCATGGAAGTTGAAAATTATTTCAAACTGTGCATTACTAATTTACGATTGTTTGACATGGGTCTTGAAAATTTTATAATTTTCTGCAAATTCTTTTCTTATGACCTAATTTAAAAATCATTTTCACATGTTTCCTTGATCGCTGATTATTAACGGGATTCAAAATTGAGCGCGCAGCAATAATTTATTAATGAATATTCTGCATACAATTTGGTGGTGATGTGGAGGATTAGTTGAAAGCGCCTGCAGTGACCTGATTCGAATGCAAGAAGATCCCCGCCCACTATGTGCAATGTTCCACGCCTGGTTTTGACTTAAGCTCACGTACGCTCTGTGTGTGTGTGTGTGTCGTTGATACTTCTGAATCAAGTGCAGTGAAGGGAAATGATTTTATATTTCAACATTATTTTATAAATTTTAAAATCGACAGTCCTTATCTTATTGCCTAATAAACCATATAGACTGACTTACATGTAATTATCCAATAAGTGCAAGATTTTGACAGGAGTCCTATTTTTATTTATTCTCTATGGCCATGGGATACACAAATTTAATTTATTATTTTTTATGTGAAGTTTGAGAATGTTTTAAAGTTTCGTTATATCGGAATAAAAATTAAAGAAAAAATTTTGAAAAAACGGTTTTGGTTTTAAAAGTATTTATTTTATTTTTATGCTAAATTGTTCACTTTTACTTGCAATACGAGGGAAGTATCTTTTATGTTAAAGTTTATTGAATTTTTAAATGAAAATTAAGCAAAATGCATTTTCTATCTGTTATAAAATATTTCTGATGAGTTACGTCCCAATCAGGAATTGATTGATTTTAACAGTCATCAGCGCAATAATACAACATTTTTCAAATTAAAAAAACCGTGAGTCAGGACTCACAACGGTACAAATTCTGGACTTATTCTATCTCGAAAATCAACGATTGCGCATTTTAGTTAATAGGCCATCCAATACAATGAGAGATGCCATATATAATAATTAATATATATGTTTCAAACTTTATTCATTCCATTTCATTTTTTAAATAAAAATTATGTTTCTTTTTGATTTTTTTGTTGGAAATAATCTCAGTTGTATTAAATTACACTCCTACATTACGCAACCTCAGAGGTAAAACGGCCAAAAAAGAAGAGAGTGCATGGAAAACAAATGAAGACTGTAAAGTCAACACAGATGGCCCTAGGATGGTGGTTGGTGATGCTAGTCATAATATTCAAGGAGGATTTGTAACGAGGTATTTTCAAGTTCTTCAAAGAATAAGTTTTAATTTATTATTATGATAAAGAATGGTTGCAGTAGTTTTTGTTGGGATCAAATTTGTTGTTATAAACCACTTTTAGTCTTAGTTCTCTTAAATGTGCAAGTTATTTGAATGTCTACTCATAGATAACAACCTTAACAACTACTCTTAGGCATTATTAAACAACACTTTATTTAATCAAACGTAGTTGTGTAGGTTAAGTACTTGCTTTAAAAGAATCTCTGATAATTAGGTGAAAAAATTAGGAATTTAAGAATTTATGTTTACTTAGATTTCAAATGACCTAAAATTTATATGACCTAGTTCTCTCTATCAACATATCGAATATTAATTGCAAATACTGCCATGCCCTATTCAAAATAATAAATGCGCAAAACGAATAAAAACATTCTGAAACGCTATAAAGACAAATTATCTCACCAATTGACCATAGAAGAATCAAAATATTTAATGCTAGTTTGAAAATAATTAAAATAAATAGACTAACGATAGGTCACATAAATCATAGACTCCTAAATAATAGATACTAGACGAGAAACTGAAATTTACACATGCCCAAACTGAGGCCATGCATTCTATACTACACACATAAAGTAAACGACAAAACGTCTTTAATTCTGCAACACTTAAACATTTTAATACTTTGAACAAACGATTAAAATGTTAAAACGATAAATATTTTAAACATTTATTAAAAAAATAAAAACATTATTTATTGCAAAAAAAAATATAATTATGAAAATAAATTCAAAAGTTCTGTAATTTACAAAGTTTTCTTTTTTTTTATAATTAATAGTCTTTTTTCATTTGCATTTTCTGTAATTGATTTAATTAAATTATTTGCAACAATGTTAAAAAATACATTTGAAATTAATTGTTTGAGATCATGCCCTGTGGTGTAAAATTCTGGAAATTCATTCTCCAAGTCATTATTGTTATTAAATCTATTTACAATACCACCAAATAATTGTTGCTGGTTTGAAACAGAGAGAAATTTGTGTAGTAAAATATCATTGTTTTTTAATTCTTTAATGGTTTGAAACAGAGAGAAATTTGTGTAGTAAAATATCATTGTTTTTTAATTCTTCAAATGCTTTCCAACATATCGAAGAAAAATAGAAATTACATGATGATGGTCTTTTTAGTCCCCCGCGATTTATTAGATCGAAATATGTTGTTCTGGAATCATCATCCAATTCTATTTCAAAATATGAATTTATTGCCAAATTTTCCAGACATTGTGCACATTTATTTTGATGAAAAATAGATCTAACAATATATCCAGCAACAACATAAATAGAATCAAGTGTTGTTTTTTCAGGCTCGTAAAGATATTTGAATTGGTCAACAATATCATCTGCCATTATTAAATAGTCTGAATTTTTTGATGAAGAAAAAGCCAGTTTGATATCATTAAAATCAAAATCACTATTTTTAAATAATGAAATTCCACATATTTTATTGTGCTTGTCGATCACTTGTTTCATAGATATGTAGTAATTTGCTCCTGATAGCTGTCGATACCATCCAAACCGAGATTCCAAAGAGTCTGATTGTAACTTGCCTAGTAACACATAATTAAAATGTTTATTTTCAAATAAATATTTTGAGCACTGCACTATTGCTTCACAGGTGTGTTGTATTGCAAAAAATGTTTCCTTATCAGGCCAGGTTTTTTGCTATTTTCCCATTTTTTTTAAGAAATCTTTGAAATCAATTAAAAATTTCAACTTCCAATCATTCCATAAAAGTTTGACGTTTTTCTTTACCTTTATTTGGAGTTTTGACATTCAGATGTATTAAAGATTTAAAGAGATTTCATATTAGCGCGGTTTTTCATCGAGTGTATTCTATCTATTTAAAAGCTTTTTAAAAATTGTTTTGTGGCAGGCTTGTTATTTGGCTTCTATGAGCGGTTCATGCGCTTTTTCTTTTGTTTAACAAGAAGTTCATTTTGATGAATAGCTTTTATTCGTGCCTAATAGTTATTATTTAAATTATAAAATCATGAATATTTGGAGCTTTCATTTTATTTCTGGACACGTAATTTCGGTAGTTGTATATTAACTCAAAAGAAACCTGAGATTTGCATATATGTTCAATGCGTTAAACTCACTATCTATTTGTTATCGCAATATTGATAATTTTGTAAGTTTGATTGCACTATCTTTCTTATTTTGGTTTTAATTTTTTGTTGACAAAACTAGTTAATTAAACGGTTAGTTCGTTAATGGAATTAGTTTGTTAAACAGCTTGTTGGTGAAATAAAATTTTTTGATAAAGAATTTGATAAAGAAATGAAAACATAGGATAACCAATGATGCCCGGGAAGATGAGATGGAGCAGAATTTGGTTGACGTGAGCAGCATGCTTGGCAACCTCAAAAATATGGCCATTGATATGCACAATGAAATCGATTCGCAAAATCGACAGCTTGACAGAATCAACACTCAGGTTCGTTTGATGATGTTTCAAAAATATTGAGACCGTTGATTGCCACAGTTTAATCTAATTGAGTTCAATTTTATTTTCATTGTGAAACTGTTACACGACACTGCTAATCATTCTGTTTTAAGAGCAGGTCTTCAACGAAAAGTCTTATAGATAGTAATTATATATAGTAGTAGTAATTATAATAGTAATTATAAACAGTTTTGAACTGTTAAACAAACTATCAACCGTGCTGTATATTATTAATATTAATAAATGCCCTACTAAATCCAATGATTTTTCTATTTTTAAATATTTCAGATATGTTTTTAAATATTCATCACATTATTCTATATAAAATTTATTTAATTTAACTATGTATTCAGTCAGTTCTATCAAAATAAAAATTGCATCATAAAAATATGAAACCTTTGTCCAACACAAGTTTTTTACATAAGCCAACAACTTATTATTCCTTATTAGCAGTCTGACAAGTCTTCACAACATCTGTTATATAACTTAATTTCTACTCAACGCTGCAAAGCATTTTGAAATTCATACCCCCGGTGGTAGATCTAAAAATTCGTGGTGTATGATTTTCAAAATTTTAAAGTTGGTGACGATTTTTTCTAGTCCCCGTTTAGTTTTTAAAATGCAAAATTATGACGTAGCATATTTGACACAAAATCTTCAAGATTTTCTCCTTTCATAGCCGGCTACTGTTAATAATAAATACTATCGTCCTTTGATTTAATAATTTGCACTCATTGAGAGGTCGCCTTTTTGGCATCCCTTCACATAGTTCAATGTACCATCTCCGTATGAGAAAAGTTCTATATCTCAAAGCGACGCATTTTGACGACCTCTAACTTTAAATCCTTTTTTGGGGTATTAAAGTCTATTTAAAAAAAATCCTATTTAGTTGGCAATATTTTCCATAGCTTGCGAATAGAATGTATGGCAGCTTCAGTACCTCACAACTGTATTGAATGAAATATAATCTTTACTTTCTCAACAAGATATACAGAGCACATTTGTACCTAGCCGCCTCTAAACGTTGTCTATGGCTATTGGTCAAAATCCGCCTTCTTTTAGCTAAAGAAACGAGTCTACTTTCAAAAAGTTAGTTCCTATTCCTGTCGGACAAACACCACAAAATAAAAGGTTCATAAATTTAGAGCGGTCAAAAAATCATCAATTGACAAAGTTTCTTACATCATGTCTTTTAGGTACTGGGGTTTTACCCGTTTTACACTAATTCTGTTGAAGTTTGCTTTTTCCAAATCCTGGTTCCTGGCTTGTACTCATCTCTTGTTTAATTAAATAATGATTTAATTTTGATTTTTTAGGAAAAAACAGTCTTATTGACAATTGAATTTTTTGAAATTATTCCTCAAAGGTATCAACAACGTGCAGCGTATGTGAATAAATAAGCCTCACGCACATCTATCGGGAGGCTGCAGACTATTCAGAATAGAACCGTTCAACTGATCTTTAATATACCTCCTCGTTTCAGCTCTTCCTCTCTCTTTCCAATGCTTCATTGTTTTCCGTCTCTGCTCAAATTATTTTCATTATTGGTGTTTTAACCTTCAGAATATTGTCATCAAAATCTCCAGACTCATCTCTTTAGCACAGTCTCCGGGCGCCTCCGAAACAACTGGGCGAATTGGCACTATATAAATGTTCATATTATTATTGTTATTATTATTATTATTATGCGCGAATCACTCACCACCACACATATCTCTTGATCTCTGCACTCGAGCCCATTCATTGCAACAGCAAGACCAGGGGCCTTAACCATTATGATACAATCTCGCCGCTAAAGAAATAGGGTTGACGCGAATAAAAGAATTGAAAAAATTGATATAAAAGTGGCCTGAATAATTAATTGATTTACTTTTGCTTTTTAATGTTTTAATAAACTTCATTACATTTTTATCATAGGCAATAGTCTTGGATGAAAGAGTTCAAAGTGCAAATAGTCGAGCTACAAAGATTTTAAATAGTTAAATTATATATTTTATGTTAAACTTTCAATTTATTTATCGTGCCTTAATAAATATGCTTAATATATTTATCCATTCCACGTCAAAATGAATTTCATTATAAATTACAAATATCTTGGTTGCTGGTTTCTGGTGTTTTGCATTAAAACTTCAGGCTTTTGAATCAAACCTTTTCAATATATTCACTTGATTCTTTTCTATTTTTTACAGATATTTAAAAGCATTTATATACTTATTAGATTTTAGACTTATTATGGTGTCTGCTGATCCATATTTTTCAATTTTCAGATAACTATTTTTGTATAAGCATTACCTTATTTTAAAATATTTTAAAATAAAATTTCAGCTTATACAATAAACCCCTGCATTTGTTTCATCGGTTTTTTATTAATTTTACCGAAATTTCGCTTTAATGATTCTATTTGTGATTAACAAACTTTACAAAAAGCTGTTTTAAGTATGTCATTGCATCCAATTAGAAATACGATCTATTTGAGCGCAATGAATTCAGTCAGATACTTTATTTGCTTCCAAACAAAATTAAGGTGTGACAGGATGGCTGTCGAGTAACGTATCAAGCCTTTTATTAACAGTAAATAATAAAAATGATAAAAAAATAAAGTTGAAACAAATATTTATCAGATTTTCCTTGAAAACATTAATCACAGTTGAGTGTGTATATAGTATATATATAGTGTGTGTGTGAGTGTGTGTGTATTTACATGCATATATATTGTATATGCATATATATTGTATATATGTGCTGGTAAAAGACCATAGTTAATGCAGTAATTTATGAAATCTAACGAATTTTTAGCGTTGGATAGTTTTTTATTAAATTTCTCAATATTTCTAACCAAATTCTTGTGTCATTATTTATTTTATAATGTTAGAATAATATACAATTTTCCAATTCATTCTGTATTGTATAGGACCTATTTCGATTTTTCAATCATCTTTAGCACAGTTTAATTAGGAAATTTGTATAATCCAGGCCTTTTTTCTTGTGATTTGCATTTATTGTTGTTATTGACTTTGTTAACTTTACTATCTTTTTAAAAAAAAAGTCAATAATAACTATAATGAAGATAGTAAAATTGACCAAGCCAAAAATAACAATAAATGCAAATCACAGAAAAAAAGGCCTGGGTTATACAAATTCTCTATATGAACTGCAACAAGTGCTGAAATGATTGAAAAATCGAAATAGGTCCTATACACTCCAGAATGAATTGGAAAACTGTATATTATTCTAGCTTTAATAAAACAAATAATGACGACAAGAATTTGGTTAGAAATATTGAGAAATGTAATAAAAAACTTTCCAACCCTAAAAATTCGGTAGATTTAATAAATCACTGCACAAATATATATATGCATGTATATATGTATATATATATATATATATATATATGTATGTGTATATATACATGTAATAAACATGTATCGAAAAGTAACAATATACGTATAATGTTGAGCAGCCGATAATAAGAAACATACAAACGTGCCGTAACAATTCAGAACTATAATTGGAAATGGCGTAGATTAACTAGCGGTTAAGCTTGTGCAGCATGTTTATTAAACATAAATTCTTAAAAAATTTAACGTTAATTAGAATGGATGAAAAATCTAATTGCAAAAAAAATTAGAATCCTAACGATTGGACGCAATTTATTTGTTCAAAGATCCTAGAATTATAATTCAGAACTATAACGATATTAGGAAATTCTCTATATATGTTATATGATACGTATGTGGGTTCGACAAAATGTACTTTAATTTTTTTAACAGAATTCAAACAATAATTATTAATTTATTCCACATCCGTGGTCCATTGCACAAAACGTGGAAAAAATCGAATATTCATTACTACGTGTGTTTTTGTGTCTACTTTTCGAGTCAAACTATAAATAATTAGAAAAAATTTTCAGTAACAATCTAGCGTAATATTTATGAGAAATATTTGCATAATAAAGGTTCTTGAAGTTCAAATAAATAAGTTGAAATAAATAAGAATGGAAATAGCATCGTCGATATGGGATTGAATTTCGAGAGGGTGATGGTTTTCATTGCTTTTTTCATGAACAATTGCGACGGTTGTGCCAATGATGACACACTAATGCTGAGACAATGTTGCCCGTAGACAAAGTGAGGAAGAGAAACCGAACTGTCTAAAAATTTCCACGTATGTCTCGGTAGGAAAAATTTTACTCTGTTGATTGCGCCCAATGGCTTGCATATTTGGACTTACATGCTTTTTAAATGTTAATGCACTATCTATTTCCTATAAATTTAAGGACTTAGTTCCTGTAACTGTTTCACCATCAATAATAATTTTAAAAGGCTATTTGTAATTTAAATATTGAACACGTCTAAAAAATATAAGTTTAGTTTTCTCTTAATGAGAGTCATTTTTGAGTCATTGAACTGTTTAAAAGTTCATATTTTTATCACTGTAACTGAAACTTTTCAATGAATTTGGCAAATCGTTAATGTAGAAGGCGAACAACAAAAGCCTTAAAGAACTTCTTGCTATTTCGAATGTTTTCCATCCCACATCACATGCTCCTTCCTTTCCAACAACTTTTAAACTTTCCTTTGTACTCCATAATGTTCTAATTATTTAGGAGAACTTAAGGGTCAACGCAATCAAAAATTTTGACCAGGTACAGAAAAATGGCAGCGGTAGACCTTTTTTTGAATGCTTTGCCAATGTAGCGAATCAACTTATATTTTTGTCTAAATTACACTAATAACTTTAATAGGCACTACTTGCTCGACACGTGAATCGTCTTCAGCTGCTGATAGAACAGGATGTAATTAATATTTTCGTTAGACTGTTTTGTTTACGTTGCTAATTTTAAAAGATTTATTTTTACAGTTAACCATCTGCTAAGATTCAAATTTCAATGATAATTTTGCAAAAATTTATTGTTTGACTATGAGCGTTGTATACGAATACGTGAAAAGTTATGATAGCAACGTTTATGTATCGTATCCCAAAGAGATAGATGCAAGGTATGGAGTAAAAATAACAAGACAATCAATAATATGCTTCTTCTCAAATCTCTTTTTTACTATCGGGTGGATTGTTATTGTTTTTTGTTTATGGTTATTTTTTGAACAACAAATTCGCCACGGCACTACTCACGTTAGTCAAATCTACATATAAAACAATTGTAACAATTTTCTGCTTAATGTATTAGAACTTTTGATTTTCTACTAACCGAACCCACTACAACAAAGCATTCCATTGTTTCTTAAATTTAGCATTTTTAAAATGTCTGCCAAAGATAATTTTAATGTTGGTTTTTTAACTATCTGTGTTAGTTGTTCATTTTCGCTACTTTAACCAGGCTTATATTAATTAAAGATAACTTTATTGCTGGTTTTTTTAACTATTTGTGTTAGTTGTTCATATTCGCTACTTTGACCAGACTTATTAACTTCAGATTCTCTTTGTGTTCAATCGTATAAATGTTGCAAACTATTTTTCGATAACGAAATTAATAAATTAAGCTGAAATTTTGTAAATTGGCTCATTTCCGATGATGACAGTGTATGGAATTATAGGTCAAATTAAATTGAGTCTAAGCAACTTGCCACCCAGTCGGCGAGTTAGATCATTCGGTAGAAGTGCCTTGTCTCATGCATTTACGCGATAGCCTGTTTCGAACACTGTCGGTCCGAAACTCAAAGACGTATGATGCGGTGCTTACATGTGCATACATAATGTGTATGTACGTCCTATGGTGTGGATAGTGCGGTCTTTGTGGCACGAAATTAATTAGTTTATTAATTTAATTAATTTATTTATCAACCAATACTCTGGCGAATACATTTAGAATCCATAAAGGCAGTACAGTAAGCAACAAAAAATACAAAAATGTACAATTTTACGTTTATAAGGTAGTTTAAAAAAGTGTTCTCTTTAATTTGTTTTTTGTTTTTTTTTTTACAGCAATTTACTTAATTGTTTTTTTTCCAGTCACCTCACACACACACACACACACACACACACACACACACACACACACACACACACACATATATATATATATATATATATATATATATATATATATTATATATATATATATATATACAAATGATTGTGATGGTAATTCAGAACAACAATTTTGGGTAGCAAGTTTTTTAGGCTTTCCATCCATTAGCTGAATTTCATTTTCTCTCCAGTCAGCGATTCCAAGACTGTACTGCGTGGCATTGAGTTGAGTTCTGAGGATGAGTCTAACACGACGGTAGTATTCTTTTCGTATTTTTTCTTTCATTTTCCATGTTGGATGCCATCGCTTTGACCAACTCCAAGATATTTTTAAACGTTTTTTTCTTCTGTTCAAGATTTCCTATCTCGGTGACGTCATTCAGTTTAATTTCGATACCGCTAAAAAGTTTTCCTTTCCTGATTGTAAGATTCGCGCATTTATTTAATCCAAACTCCATTTGCATATCGTCGTTGAATTTTTTTGCAATTCCTTATTGTTGATATAGTCGAACATTATTTTTCACAAAGCGCTTCAAATTATCCATGTATAAAAGACGAATGACGTTGTGCTTTTTTACGAACTACGTATCCAAGATAATCTTTGTGAAGCATCGTTGTTATCAATCAGAGCTGTAGGCTACTGAACAGGAAAGGAAATAACGAGTGACCTTAGAAAATACCTCTTTTATACCTATTCTGTTGGTCGTGATCAGAGAGAGGTCTAGCAATGATCGTTACGATTCATATGACAACAGACAAAAACAATTAAATATATTGAAATATTATGCAAATCCATGAAAACATAATTTAAAAATATTCTTATTATTGAATTTTGTTGTTTTCTGAAATATAAAAGCATTATTTAATAAAATATGTAATTAAATTTAGTTAAATAATGGTCTTTTAATGTGTGAAACATATTTCCAGGAGCGTAATCCAGTATTTGGACGTTTTGGTTAGTATCAGGTGTATTTTTTAAAATTTGAAATTTTGTTTGCTGAGATAAAACTTTTAAATTTTTTAATAGTTTCAAAAAAGTGCATGGTTGACACATTCGAGCTAAAAAGGTGGCCATCAAAACATGAAGGTAAATATGCTAATAATCTAGTGCTGATCATATTTGCATTGTTATATACTGATTATAGATGCAAAGCGGTCACCGGGTTAGCTCGGTCGGTAGAAGTGCCATGGCATAGTTTGAATACTGTCTATCCGAAACTCAAAGACCATCATACCCGTATGATGCGGCGCCTGCATCATACATATATGTGTATGTACGTCGTGTGGCGTAGATAGTGTACAAAAGTTTGTGGCACAAAAGTTTAATCACAAAACATAGATTAACATGTAAGAGTTGCGTTATAAAAATAGCTGCATTATAAAAATTTTTATTAAAAATGAAATACATTTTGTAAACAAATTTCCAACTTTTACTGGTGTTTTTTTAACGAAATCTCTTAAATTTTCTATAATCTGTTGCAATTTTGTTAATGTTATGTATATATATTATGTTATTTGCCTATAATATTAATTTAATTATTGGCAATAATTAATGTTTTTTAATTTTTTAAAGTGTAACATCTTAAGATTTTTTTGAACGTCGTAAACAACCCACTTCTTGCTCTAGGATTGTTTTTATCAAGAACTTCAACTTTCATCAACAAAAAAGCTATTGTTTTATAAGCTCTTCAGTCATTAGCAACTGGAGCATTAACTGGAGTTTTGCTATGTAAATTCTGCAGCTACATTTAGATGCTGAAAGGACTGACATAAGATTTACAGCGCTATGAACAAAGAAAGCAGAAGAACACAGTGTCGTGCGTAAAATGGGAATTTTTGGTGACAGATACCCATCTATGAAGATTCATGCTTCAATGAGACATCAGATTGCAAGAATAATTCTGTGTCGTCAATACTGATATCAGCAACATATTCAATGTCCGCATCTTCAAGAATTTTGTTGCAAAGTGCACATTGTGTAAACGAGGAAATTCTTTCAGGACCACCAGGCTCCTAACATCAAACTTTGCAAGTTGCTATAAACGTTGATCTTTGATAGCGGCCAGATTGTCTGGGATATTTTAAAAGATTTTGACCAAATGCTGAAAGCAGCACATACTGGAACTGATGATCAGAAGGGAGTACCTCAGCAGCAGCGATGTTGAATTTGGTCGTTCCTACGAAAGCATCATCTGTAAAATTTGTGAGTTTGAATTGTCGTACTCCAGACCCATTACGACAGCTTGCAATAAATGACACATGCCCAAGAGCATTTGAAACCTGTCACACTGAAACTGCCATGGTGTTTTGGCGACGTCAACCACGTGGTCACAAGATTTATGAAACATACTCTGCTTTCGTTCACCTGCAGTTTTTTCTGTCAAGATAGGTAACGCTGCTACCGTTCTTTTATGGAAAGCTTGGCACACCAAAGGTACACTCTGATGTTGCATAATATTGAGATGTACTGATGTGTAATTAAGTTTAGTGAAACGTAAAACTGTCACTGCCTTCTTCGTACAGGGCTTTCACATCACAGCAGTGTGCAACGATACTGAACCTTTTCAGTAAAATATAGATCTTGTTTTGGCTCAGTGAGCCTGTTATTTCGAATGTTGTGGAATATATGCATCTCAAAGCAACGACATTGACCTTGAAATTGAAACTTTTTGCTTTGAATTAAAGAGGTTAGGGTTAGGGTTAGGGTTAGAGTTGCGCCTCTTCGCTTGATTGAGGGCAGATTTGATATTATGACTCCGTGGTTTGACTAAGAGTGCAGAATAGCTAAAAGACACTGTCGAATAAATGAACGAAAATATAGAAAATGTTTATCACATGAACATCAAATTGAATGGACTGCTGCTTTAAAAGAAATAACTAAAAAATTTTCGCAAAAACGAAATTATTACTAGAAAAATGCATTAACACAATAGTGGCGGCCCTAAAAATTTGTGGAAGGTAGTAAAGAAACTCTTTCGTAAACACGTCAAGAACGATTTGCTCGATTTAATTATTGATTTAGACTCTTCCCATTTATGATATTTTTACTGATAACATTGAAAAATTAAGCAGTAATGTTTGATTAAATTAAAATGAATAGTAGTTTGTTTTCAAATTTTTTTGTTTTAACTGAAGCAGATAAAAAAAAGATAGTACTTGCCATGTATAATGCTAACCCTAACCCTTCAAAGACTTGTGCAATATGCAATCGATGTTTTTTCAGCGCAACATATTCAAAAAGTTTATAGACTTCTTTATTGTATTTCTAACTGATGTGGCAAATCTAAGTTTAACCAGTGGTACTTTTCCTACAGACTGTAAACATGAAGCTATTTTTCCAGTTTTGAAAAACAACACATGGATAGAAATGATTTAAGAAATTATAAACCAATTTCTAACATTTGTTTTATTTCAAAAGTTGTCGAACGTGTTTTGCCAGAAAACTTTCAAATCATTTAAATAAATATAACTTAATAACTGTTCTGCTGTATGTATTTTTCGAATTGTTTGCCGCTATTGGCAGACAACATATTGCTTTGGTTACATTTTTGGGTATGAATCCGGCTTTCAACTGCGTCGACCATAGAATTCTTTTGGATAGATTGAATTTTGATTTTGGAGTTTCTGAAACTGTTTTAAAATAGTTTGAATCATATTTATTGTGAAGAGCGTAGTAGGTTCTATTTGACAGCAAATTATCAAATGCAACAACGATGTCATCAGGGGTCCCGCAAGAATCTGTCCTTGGGCCTATCCTATTAATATTATATACGGTAAAAGTATTTATAGTGATTGATAGTTTTGGGATAAAATATCATGCCTATACAGATAACATCTAAATAATAATCAGTGGTAAACCGGAATTACTCTAATGTGAAATTTCCAAGCTTGTTTAATGTTTGAACAAGGTTGATGAACGGATATCTACAAACTGTCTCAGATTGAATCAACATAAGTCACGATTTATTTTTATTGGCACTTGGCAGGTTGTCAAAGCTTAATATTAGTTCAGTACATTCCCGACTAGATAACTACCCCAGTTTATTCTACGGGTTACCGGAAAGATCTATAGCTGCTCTTCAGTCCATTCAAAATAGAGCAGCAAAACTGGTTGTAGGTAGTTTGAGGTTTGACCATGTGACACCAATATTAAAAAAACTTCACTAGCTCACGGTTAAAAAAATTACATATAAAATTTATTTCATAATGTACAAGGCTATTCACAATCTGCTTCCAGAATATCTGATGAATAAAATAAAACAAAAATCAGTTATGATGAGTGGTATGAGCCTCAAATCAGATGATGGTGCATAGAGCAATCTGCCAAAGTCACTAAATGCGAAACTTCAAATTTGAAGAGTTTAAAAGGAATTTAAAAAATCTTTTATTTTCGTTTTAGTACTATTGTTGATATATATATATATATATATATATATATATATATATATATATATATATATATATATACTCCGTGATTTAGTCCAGAAATACTCCGTGATTTAGTCTGCCGTGTTAATGTAAATTTTGGTAACAGACTGTTGTTAACGCAACATTTCAAAAATTCAACACTACTTTCAACATTGTTCAACTTTTTTATATTTTTTTTAATT